AATTAACCGACAGAATTCGAACCTCTGACGAAATTCGCTAGTGACGTCACGATCAATCAGCGAATTAGAATAAAATTTGATTTCCATCCGGATAGAAAAATAGATAAGAGTAGGGGTAGATCTTTTCCGACAATTAATGATAGCTACCTTAGTGGGGGGCGAGAGAGGGTAAATAACGACGAAAGTAGGAGAGTTAAGGAGGGCGCTGTATCCTTCTAATTTACATACGGACCAATGATAAAATATTCGGAGGGCGCTACCGATATCCGAATTAGCATACCGACCAATAATAACATTTTTTCTCGGAAAGAGGAGAAGAAAAGCGATCTTTGACCGCGGAGAGACGATTCTCGTCCATTTTGCTACCGGTCTTCTAGCTAGAAGGAGTAATTGAGCCAGATAATTTCGTCACACAGGACTAATTACGCAGACATTCTGTACTAGCTAATTTCGTTCGCCGAAACAGTAAGGAAAAATCGTAAGTAGGCAAAGTGCCACCCACTTACACTGCCCGTCAATAACTTTTGCCATGCTTAACTCAAAATTAGGCAAACTTGAAAGTTTTGTATCTCGGTCGGAAATCATCGTATCACAAAAACAGCAGGGCATTTTAAAGGTAATTGCAAAAGCTTCCATTTCAGACGTGCAGAGACTTAAAAATGAAAATCTGTGTTTTTTACAGTAAAAAAACTGATTAAAAAAATTTCAATTTTTTTCACCTCGACTTAAATCAATGCCAATTTAGAACCAGGCGGTGGAGGACAAATCGACCTGAGGGGTTCAGAGGGTAGTGTCTTTCCCTTTAAAATTAGCCCCCGCGGGGTTCTATCCGATGTTTTTTAACCGAGTTACGGCGTTTTTTATAAAAAAATAACCTTTTTTTTCAATTCTCAATTACTTCGACTTGCGTACGTTTTGGAAAAAATGCCATGGAGAAAAAAGTTTCATTTTGTGCTCAAGAATACGAAAATAAAGGCAAAATAAAAAAATAGAGAAAAAATTTTTTTTCGGTTTTTTAGCGCATTAAAAAAATAAAGGAATTTAATTTTTTTTTACGCTTAGTTTTAGTTTTTTTGTGATTTACTAGACCTACCTAGACATTTTAAGACTAAGCGTAAAAAAAAAAATTAAATTCCTCTATTTTTTTAATGCGCTAAAAAACCGAAAAAAAATTTTTTCTCTATTTCTTTATTTTGACTTTATTTTCGTATTCTTGGGCACAAAATGAAACTTTTTTTTCCTTGGCATTTTTTTCCAAAACGTACGTAAGTCGGAGTAATTGAGGATTGAAAAAAAAGGTTGTTTTTTTATAAAAAACGCCGTAACTTGGTTAAAAAACATCGGATAGAACCCCGCGGGGGGGGGGGCTAATTTTAAAGGGAAAGACATTACCCTCCGAGCCCCTCAGGTCGATTTGTCCTCCACCGCCTGGTTCTAAATTGGCATTGATTTAAGTCGAGGTGCAAAAAATTGAAATTTTTTAATCAGTTTTTTTACTGTAAAAAACACAGATTTTCATTTTTAAGTCTCTGCACGTCTTAAATGGAAGCTTTTGCAATTACCTTTAAAATGCCCTGCTGTTTTTTGTGATACGATGATTTCCGACCGAGATACAAAACTTTCAAGTTTGTCTAATTTTGAGGTAAGCATGGCAAAAGTTATTGACGGGCAGTGTATATTAATCGCGGAGTGCGGGAGTAAAATATTCAGTGCTGTAGGTCGTCGCGACGCGTGGATCCGTCGATGCCGGTGCCTATCGAATCGCGCTGACCTTTCCGCCATTTCGTAGATCTAAAGTGAGTGTTAGGTTTATACGGATTAGAGGCAGTAGTTGAGTTATTCGCGCTGACCTTTCGCTAACAATTTATTGCGAACGCAGAATTAGCCGTATAAACTTACCCCGCTTATTTAATTGTGCTGACCTTCCCGCCATTTCGCAAACCGAACGTGAGCGTTAAGATCAGACAAAGAAAATTCGTGATTTAGTTATTTGCGCTGACCATTCCACCATCTTTGTTAATCGAAGACCGACCGGAAAATTATTAATATTTCGATTAATTTGTACCCTTGCTATTTCATAATTATCCAGAGTTGTACTGACCCTAATCACTCCTACTTCTTGCTTATAAATTAATAAATACGTCAATAAAGTGATTAATTGTTTACCTACAATTTACTTCCGTTACCCTGCCTTAAGGGAGTATGGTGGGTACGTAGTTAGTCAGTTGAGAGAACGCCTCGACTTTATATTGACTCGCTTAGTACCAATCGTAAATTTGGCAACGTCGCGCATATACTCCGCTCTAAACGCTCAACGTATGTCTGCTACCGCGTGTATTTATTATGCTTGCGGGCTAACCTATAAAAGGTAACCTGATGTTATACAGACTGAAAAAATGAGTGAGAAAAATAACTACTGTTATTTCGTAATAATTATTATTTATTTAATATAATAAATTAAATGTTTATTAAATTAATAAATGTGGAGTTTTTTATTAACATGAACAGAATAATTTTTAATAAAAAAGTGAGCTTCGCTGTTCAGAAGTTCGTAGCGTCATTCCGAAATCCGCGCCTATACCGAGGCACATGAAGTACATGCGACGTTGCCACGTCGTCAATTCACTGACGAAAATCGTAAATTTACGATATAAATTAGTCAATATCTTTTGTTACAGGCTCTGATTGATAGTTTTGAAAGCACCAATGGATTCAGTATTTTTTTCTACGTCCCTCAGAATTTTTTCATAATTTTCTCATTTTTGAATATCTTAATAATAAAAAAAAACAGCGTTTTCCCATAAGATCACATGTTAATTTTAAACATTAATTTCTCAGGTTTGAAGCTCTGAAAGGTCACCAAACTTGAACCATAGCTTAAGTGAACCATAATACACATTGTGTCCAAATTACAAGCAATTCTCATTTTTAATAGTCTTAGCCACCATACTCCCTTAATTGCATGCTGGTGATTTTCAGCCACGGGCGGTTATAATCGGGTAACGCTGATTCGCTATATTTTCGGGTCCCACGATAGATAACATACGCGCGAATTCGATTTTTGGACACCGAGGCCTGAACTGAGGAAATCGCGAGTACTTCCCCGCTTGCCTACCCTGCGCAGTCGCCGTGAAGGCAAACCGGGATACACGCAACGAAACCCCATTTTGGCCCTACCCCCGACGATCGCCCTAATTAGCCTGTGGTCTGGCGCCCTAAATAATCGGGGGTAGTGAGTCAAATAGGCCTTGTGGCGGAAGAAACTCGTATCGCGGTTAAAACCCCCGAAATTCCCCGCCACAAATAGAAAACAATTTATTACTCATGCACCTCTAATAGTAATAGATTGTTCTAAGCAGAATGAATCATTGAAACAAGCTGCTGTAGATGTACGTCTAGAGTTTGAAACAAAAAATGATATACCTGCGGAAACAGCTGCATATTGTTTAATTTTACACGATCGTATAGTTAAGAATAATCCAATAAGTGGTAACATTACAAAACTTGTATAAGTATTATAATATAATAAAAATGTATACTTTTTTTATCAAATAAATGTGTATTAAAAATTTTAAACGTATTCAATATTTTTTATAATAATAATCCTTATCCCCCACTTCATTCCATGAGATATACCGACTGCGCGCGTCATGCCTGCACGCCACCGTCGGTAATATTCCCCCCTTAATCATATTTTTTTTTTCCATCAATTTGACACATCATCGATCGATCATCGGTCATCGGGAGGGGGCCATGGGGCAGGGGGCACGGGGTCTGGTGGGGCATCATCCACGTCGATAAATACCGACCGGCCGAGCATACACACACACATGCACATGCACGGTCGGCTACAATGCAAACCGTCGACACAAAATCGGCCGATAAAACATTTCAGTAGCCGGTAATGCAGGATTAATCATGTTACCGACTGCTGGTAAGGAAGGAATGAATACTCACATAGTAAAAGTGGCTTAGAACCCTTATAGCCTATACTACTACCGCATATTAATTTGGCAAACGACAAGGGAAGGGGCACGTCATTCTATGGTATAAAAAGGCTGGATCAGGATCCGCGAATAGGCAGTAAGACAGTAAGGTAGTAGTAGCTCAGTAATTCTGTAGCCTGGTACTGATATTGTATTATTTTTAAGTTTCGATACCCGATTACTCAGAACCGGAATTGTACTCTGCTAAGCATTATAAACTTGTCATTTCAACAATAAAACTTAATCAACACCTGAGACTCTTTCATAAAATCTCCTCTGAAGTTCAGTAAGGTAAGAAAGTAAGAAACTAAGTTATCTACCTAAGCACACCACATATAATAAAGGCGTTATCCCTTTAACAAACCTCTGCTTACCTCATGACTAAGATCCAATCTTTACCAATGCGACAGTATTTTAAACACTATTGCGTCTAGCCATAACACCTTCTCGTCTAGACATAACATGAGTGTTAGGCTTAAATGAAAAGTATTTTAGTACTTCAGTTAAGTCACGCTGACCTTTCGCCATTTCTTCGAATTAAGTGTGAGTGTTAAAATCAAATGAAAATAATTTTAGTGCTCCGGTTAAGTTACGCAGACGGTTAATAACGGCAAGTACTTGTTCGCCATTTTCGGTTCCGACATTAGGTAACATACGCGCGAATTCGAATGTCATATAGTCGCGAATCTCCGACCCGAGATAAAGAGTCACAACCTGCGGTGCCGGCATTTCAAGGACACGAGAGACGGAAAAAATCGAACTATTGGACGCTAACGGCCTGAATCCAAGGAAATTGCGGGTCAACGTATACCTGCTTACTTTGCGCAGTCGCACCGTGGGCGAATAGAAATACGTCGCGATATTTTGGCCATATCCCCGACGATCACCCTAATTAGGTACGGTGGTCTGGCGCTCTAATAATTAATAGGAGAGAGGATCAATCAGGCCTTGTGGCGGAAGCGCTTCGAGTGTGTGACTGAGACCTTCCGAAATTCCCCACCACAAATTATTGATAAAAAATAAATAGAAATTACAAATATAAATTGCTAATTATATTTATTTTAATCAAATTATTGTATTATACATTATAAATATTATAAATATTAATTATAATAATTCAAATTAATTAAATGGTATTAAATTGATTAGATTGATTTAAATTATTTTAAGTTATAGAAAATAATTGTTTCCTTTTTAAAGTAAGTAGAAAAAAAGTACAAATCTAATTTATTATTTAAATTTATGTAATATTCATATTAATACTGTACTTTTTGTAGAAGTCAAAACAATTGATTACATGATTCAACGCAGCGTGTACATTTTAGAATAGGTCTAAAATTTCAAATACATTGTTTATTTGTGTATTGTGAGTCAGTAATTAGGTCTTTACTTCTTCATTAATTACCTTATCAACATATTAAGGTAAGGTAAATATTACTTAAAATAGCGATTATAAAAGAAAAGTCAAAAATTTAACTTTTCAGATTTAATTGTTTTATTATTATGATACAGGTTAGTTTAATAAAGAAATATGTATTGATGATTATATAATTATTATATTACATGATTTGAAACACAATTTTTAGATAGAATAAGGATTAAAGAAAACATATTTTGAATTGAATTTTATTTAAAACAATTAGGGAATTACTAATATATAATATATAAATATATTTATGTCAACTGTTTATCAAATGAAATAGAACGTTTTCTTGCACCCTTGATTCTCTAGCATATATTTTTATTGACTTATATTAAATTTTAAATTCATTTATACTTTTTGAGAACTATTTAGGTTTTTTTATTAATTGTGCTATTATTTTTATTTGAAATGAAAGTCAGACGAGATCTACAATATGCATTGTATCAAAATGTTACCTTATTGTTTTATTGCGGAAAAAAATAATTTGATTTTGAACTGAATAAGGAGTTGAATTTGATATATATACCCATTATTGATATGTAAATCTTTGTTATTTCACAGGATTCAATAAAAGTTTAAAATCTTATAATCCATAATAATACCCATTCATAATATAATTGAAGACTAAAATATAATAATTTAATCTTAAAAGAATTATTGAATTTATTGAGTTTTCATTTATCTGAAATTTTATTCAGTTATCTGAAATCTTATGTGTACAACTTTTAAAATAATAGGAGAAATCACAATATTATGGATATATAGCTTAACTAATATATCAACATATACTTAACTGTTGGATAGATTTGTTTTAATTAGTAATAATTATTATATTCATTTTTTGGTTGTGATCTGTGTGTTATATTTAAAGTATTAATTATTAAGTGAAATCACATATATGCTTCTATGTATTCTATATTTTGGCTATGATTGTAATAATAATTTTTCAGTTTTTTGGTTGATAATGTATATTTAGGATCCTTGGTGATAACATTGATGTGAACATTCACCAGAAAGCATATGTCTTCCCTTATGGTTTCCAATGTGTGATCATAAATGATTTCCATGTATGATATTACAAAATTGAGTGCAAGTGCCGACAGATAATATACAACGGGTATGTAAGTCGGAAAGTCCGTGTATGCCTTCAAGCGAAAGTTTCTATACTCTCTAATTAGCTTATTATCTTTTGGATGCTGTCCTGTATATGTTGTCTTGTGTAGGCCCTGTAGGCTCCAGAGACAGATTTTTGGAAATCAATAAAAAATAGTAAATTGTTCTCATTTTCGCTGATTGATTTTCCATATAAATCATATAATTTAATAATTAAATAAACTGAATATAATCAGAGTAAACTCAATACAATTAGGAGTAAATTAAAATAGTATCCCTTTAGATTAATACTTACACAAACATATACATGAATAATGTATGACTGGGCCATCATGCTGTGGGTTGTACCGAAATCAGATTTTTGATTTTGGCTGATTGAATATTTAGATAATTTATGCAAAGAAACAAATATGTAGAACAAAAATAAAACAGAATTATAAACAGATCAGGAATGTTAAATAAATCCTTGTAAATAAAACTTGACAAAGTAAATTTACATGAAGGTTTCCCTAATAGTCTCCCTTCTCTTTTAGCTCTTCTTTATTGTGTTAAATAAATCTTAAAAAAAATGTAATAAATTTCTCATTTAGTAATCAACTCTATCAATCTTATTATTAGCTCAAAATTATTTGTAAAATGTTGAAAGTAACGAAATCAAATTAAAAATTCCAGGAATTCTGAAAATTATTTTCAAATCATTTATGTATAAAATAGCACAATAAAAATGGTGATCAACAAAAATGTTGTGTATAATATTTCTACACTATTATTCATACATATTCAACATGTGATATTCATTTTCTTCATGGAGATGTTAGTCAAAAATCATTAATAAATTTTTGAAGGTAATAAAAACATACTCTTGCCTTACCTGTAAAAAAAATTAAAAATTTTTTTATAATGTAAAAAAAATAAAAATTTTTTTTATAATTGTGGGGTGTAAAAAGCATAAAAGTATCATGAGTTTGAAGTTTGGAGTGCTCATGGTAAGCGAAAATATCAAAAATTGTAATTGAACTTTCTTTGTTCATAAATGACTTCAGACCAATGTTTAAGTACCTCATATGACCAAAAAACATAGTATCTGCAATTACACCCTTATAACCGCCTTTAATGTTAATGCTCTTATTGGTAATGCATATACCATATAGCACAGGCTAAATAAGTTTTAGCTTCTGCGGAATTATTCAGTGAAAAATTCACGTCGATTGTTAGCTTTTTCTAATTTACTACAAACTAAGTAAAAAAGTAAAAAGTAAAAAGCCTACGTAAAAAACTTTTTGAGTGGTTAAATCACGCTCGAACTAACCCTTTTGCTGATCAGTAAGCAACTTGAGCGCCAATACAATTATTAATTAGGGTATCTTATAAGGAAAACTTTTCTAACTTATTCCTGCTTCATAGCGATGACGGCGCCTTATGGATTTCTTTACTACATTTTCACCTATCAGAATGCCCTTCATCGAAACTTAACGATTGCATGTAACTCAAGGCTATCAACGCGCGTGAGACAAATTTTTCGTGGAAACGCTTATTAGGAAAATATTTCGACTTTATTTGTTAATCATCGCGAAGATATTGGTGAATTGGATATATAAAATTCCAATAATTCTTTCACAATAAATTATATTATCGGTGCTAAATGCGCCGGAATTAATATACAATATTTTACATGAGATGTCGATTAATCAAAGATAAATCAGAAAAATTTGTCTTATAAATAAATTTAATTTGAGAGAATATGGGCGTTATTATCTTTTCAACACTTGCGAACTGTCTGACTTATTCATTTAACTTATTGAATATTAATTGATTATAACGCCTCGGTCTATTATTTAGTGCTAATTTACACAGTCCAGTGACCCATGTCACTATTTTTAACCAATCAGATCACGAATAAAATGCTTCAACAAGTCTTACATACTATTTTTTTATAAGGGGATTAATTACAAATTATTAAGAAACACATATACAAAACTAATGGATGTTTATGTAACATTATTATTGTTAGAATATTGTTTATTATAACATGGTTTATTCTTAGTTGAATTCTTTTTTATTCAAAATCTAATTATAATACGTATATTTATCATAAAATATTATTTATTCCTTATCTATCTATTTTTTTAAATTTTTTCCGGCAAAATAAGCAAAAAACTGTAATAATAACTTCACTAACCATTTTTTATAAAATAAGTGACATTTTTTATAACTTCTTATAATTTTAGGAGTACGATTTTTTTCGACGCTATGCCTGTGGGCGTTCACTTTCCCCATCATTCCGCCGCGCTGTCTCGCTGAAAAATGATGTGCCCCACCGACATTACGTAATTTTTTTAATGCATTACAGAGGTTTCCACAAAAAATTGACCTGGATAAGTTGTTGGCTCACCGGTAATGACGATATATTTTTTTCAGCTACCAAGCTAATAAGTTGAAGAATAGACTATAAATTTTGGTGATTTATAACTAACTCTATTATTTTTTTAACCAATGTTTTATTAACCAATTTCCATGAGCTTTCTAAGCATACCGTTATTTATGTCCTGTATAATATGTAACAGGCTGCCATTTAACCGTTAACCTATTAAACCTATTCGTTAGTTCGGTCAAACGACGCCTTGTTATCTACATGCCGTAAGCACGTTAACCTACCTTGTCCGGGAGTGCGCCTGCGCAGAGTTCCCTTACCGATCTGAGTTGGGTTCTTGAACTCTCCGCTTGGTGGCGCTGTCGCGCTTGCTTAGCAGCGCTCCGTCGGCCGCTGCTGGTAACTCAGTTTGCAAGTCGCTTCTCTCGATGCCTACACGATCCGTGCTACTCTACCGGCTTATTCGAAGCGGACGTAAACAATAACATACACCCCGGACAAAGGAAAGACAAAACAATACTCAGTTAAGAATAACTGCCGATCTCTTTATTAAACTAGATCAAATACACGGGAGGGATTTGCCGAGAGACTCACGCACGCGAATCCGTCTGACAATGTAAACGAGGAGAGAGAGAGAGAAAATCGCGATCCTCGCGAACTAAACGCTCGCACGCTTTGTATGATTTCTCCGCGCACGCTGCGCGGGATCGCACGCCAATGACAATAAATGGAGAAACACCTACCGCGAGATTGAGGTGGATACGGTGGCCAACCGTACCCGTCTAATTGGTTGTTGACGATCTTCCTCTGCGTCTGTTGCTTTGCTGTCGTTGTCACGTGTCTGCAGGATTCGCAGAAGCTAAGCACGCTGTAGCGAAGGTTGCCCTCGTGAGGTGATGCTCGCACTCGGCGTTCCGCACTCAGCGACAGTCCTCGACGGCGGTGTCACACACCTCACACGGCGCGAACACACGACTCACTCCACCGGTCTTTATCGTCAGCAGTTGATGCACCCGACGCGCGATGCGTACTTCACCTTGGCACTCTCAATCACAGTACTGCAACTTCCCTGGATCACACTCGGAACCCTCACGTACGTTGGCAGCTCAAAACACGGTCGCTATGGTGTAACCGGACTGAGTGACACAGTTATACTGATTGTCGAACTCTCCCCTCCCGGTCATTGCCCCTACGCGCCCTCTCTCTCTCAAACCGATCGCGGCTGCTACGCTCAGCCGCTTCGTAACCTACGCGAGTCAAACGATTTTCGGTAATCGTTGCAAATAATATGAAAGATTAAAGTTTTCGTATCTGATTTATGTATTGCCTTTTAATATATATTTTTTTCTTTTTTATTTTCTCATCAGAATCATGGTTCTAAAAAATAAAATTTAAGACATTTTTGCTTACTAACTGGTCTGGATTGACGTAAATATTACTTGCGGGGCGTTCCGATCGGATATTATTTTTTTACGGGGACTTCTTATCAATAACTTCTCCATGATTAATAATTAAATCCG